TCCATTCTAGGCCATGGGTCCCGATGTGAAGTTCTTCAGCTGATCTTCTCGGTCCTATCTTGGCATTAAAATCACCCACAATGATCTTGTAGAAGGTGTGGTCTTCTTTATAGAACTTCTCTAGCTCCATGTAGAACTTTTCGATTTCTCTTTCATCATAATGAGATGTTGGTGCGTAGACAACGAAGATAGAAACTGCAGGCAGTGAGCCACATCTATTCAAATGTAAACGTCCGATTCGGGTTGTTAGGCATTCGAATGAATCAATGCTCTTGGCCAAGTTTGTATTGACAAGGACACCGACGCCTCCAACACCTCTTTTATCGCATGTTCCGAGGAACAATTCTTCTCCAGTTTCGAAAACAGCATGGTGAGATTCGTGCCTTCTTGTCTCGGTCAGACCAATGATGTCGTACTTGATCATTCGCGCTTGTACCATCAGGTCCTCGATGGATGCATCTGATGCTAGCGTACGTGCATTGAAAGTACAGACGATCATTTTTGTCTTCCTTCGTTGTGGCAGCCTAGGTCGGCCTTGAGATTTTGTCGGCCTCTCCTTTCTCATCCTTCTCAGTGCTGCCATGTCGGGGAAGCCTTCAGGGTCAGGTGAATGAGACCAGTTGTAGTTACTGGTTTTGGCATATCGAATTTGGCATATCGAATTTGGCAGAAGGAATAATTAGGTCTCTCAATATCTGTATTGCAAACCAGAATGTCCAAGAGTAGAAAGAGTAAGAAGGAGATTGTCTGCCATAGAGGTAGGGGGTTTGGGTGGGCGGTGGGAGCAATACTGGGGACATTGGTGGTGGAAAATACACACTGGTGGAAGGATAGGTGTTCGATCTTGTATGACTGAAACTCAATCATGAAAGCTTTGTAACTATATTTCACGGTGATTCAATCAAATAATAAAATAAAAAGAAGAAATAATCAACCAAAATTAATCTCCACACACTGAAGCCATAAAGTCAGTCCCTATATATTCAAAACCCACATGGAACTTCTGCTCTGCACTTGTCAAGGCATGAGGACTTAATAAACGTAACTCAAGTTATAACTATTTATTAAATAGTGTAGTAAACTGAATAAATTAAGTTCTTACTCCCAGTTTCATTTTCACTTATGAAATCTTTTCTGTTGTTGATTTGTTGTGCTGTGTTTGGGAACACACCTGACGATGTTTAGAATTATTCCTATTATTCCTTTCTCTGCACTCAGGAATCAATCCTGGTGGTGTTTGGGGCATCTCATGGGATATCTGGAATCAAATCCAGGTCAGCCACATGCAAGGCAAGTGCCTACTCACTGTACTATCTCTCTAGCCCCAGCATAGGAAATATTAACGGGCATATTAGTCTTTAAGATTTACCCATCTTCAAAATATATTGTTTTGAATTTTTAATCCTAGAAAAGGATGTACAAGCCTGCCAAAACTCTAAAATAAAAATCAAAAATCAAGAATCTTTTTCATGAGAAGTCAAATTTTCATTAAAAGAAGATAAAGGAAGGTATCCAAGTAAGCAATCCTGAAGCAACTATTTGCAGCCAATTCAAATACAGTGCAGTTTATGTTCAGGTAAGGGAGAAACTGTCTTAATTGCAAAACACAAAGTCCAGTGAATTTCTCCACTGTATTTCAACGGGAAATTAGCTTTGGAAACTCATGCCAGAGGTACCACCAAACTACTGATTTATTACAACTACATAGCTCAATATCTTAAAATGTTCTAACTATATTCAAGAGCAAGCCCTTATTTCCACAGTGGATTCCCTGCCAGGTAATAAATCCACAAATAAGCCTTGCTCAGGGAAAACTCCTGGCAGAGGCTTGGGGGACCATACAGGATGTCAGGAGATAGAACCTTGGTTGGTCTTGTGCATGGCAAGTGCCCTACCCACTGAATGATCACTCAGGTCCTGAAGGTTGGCATCTTAACTGGATTAACAGAAGTTTTTCACGAGATTAAATCCAAAGACTATTTGCTAATAAGCTCCACCACACTCACTAAAGTCTTATTATCCTACATGTATATGCTGAAGATGAAATTTTATGCCCATATCCCATCACAAACAAAGTAATAATGCTCAAAATTTACTTAAAGAACCAGTGCAGATAGCATGCAAGGTGACAGTCACACAATCTGGAGAAAAGGAAGCAAGACTCAGACAGGAATGAAACAAAGACTGGGGAACAGAGGCGAGGTTGCAAACCGGATTAACACAGCCAGAAAGGAAGTGCTGGAGGTCTCATTAAGTTTGTCTGAGCATCTCACTATCTACCGACTGAAGCACAGCATTGGCATTTGAGCACTCAGGCTACCGAAGCGAGATAGTTCTTCCATTTTAGATGTTTAAATATTGTCAAATGTCACCAATCTCCTTAGAAAGTATTAAAATGATTTATTGTCCATTATGAAAAAGAATGTGTATGTCTCTGCCTAGGAAAGATAACTTACCATTTCCCATATGTTAGTACGGAAGTACTTGCAATTGTATTCTAGTCTGCAGTGTACAAAGTGATTTAAGCTATGAGCAGTTGTACACATACCGGGCATCTGAGTGTGCTGTGATTAGCACATCCTCTAGCCCACCATAAGCCAATGAGGGATATTTCCATAAAATGACACAGGTCCCAAAGTGAGCATCAGTTTATTCGCTTCACATTTTTCCCCTTACTATCCTACGTGGGTCATTACTAAAGTACCAGAAATTTGTTGCAACATAAAGATTAAGATTGAGGAAAAAAGTACAAAGTTCCATATCTGAACATGTTTGCTCCTGAGAAATCTGAACATTTTTACACCTTTTGCAACACAAAGATAGCAACAGAGGTCTAGGATAGCTCATTTGTGCCACTAAATACAAGGTTAAAGTGAATATTTTAAAGACATTTTTCTACAAGCAAACAGATGTCACTGAGAAATCATCAACATAGTTCATTTTATTTTTTCTTTTAGAAGCACAATTTTTCATTTGTGATTAAAAGATAAGAAAAAATAGATTTGATTTGTAAGTATTAATCTCACTTTAAAAAATCGATATTTTTATTTTTTCTATACTTAGCTAATCCCTGGGCCAAAAAATTTTGCTTCTGATTCTTCTGTCATGTCTTTTTGTCCTGTGTACCCTCCCATTCTGGTTTAGGGAAAATCTGTTCTCAGTAAGGACAGTCTCAGTGTGCCGGGGAGAATTTGGCTAGGCAAAGGAACATGAACTCTGCAAGGTCTGCAGAGTAGCTTGGGGATCTTTGTGTAACGAGATCAGAAAATCTACATGTAAACCTTCAGCTTACCATCACTCTCTGCATTTGTAAGCATGTCCAGAAAACTTCAGTACTCTTTTTGGACCACGGGCCCAGTGGCTAGCCCCACTGCCTGCCGGGGTAACACCTACCAACACATCAATGTAGTGCCGAGGGATGGTGGTTTTTCTGATAAGCACATCCTTGATGGCCAGGTCAGTTTCCCGAGTGTTCTCAAAGTGAACATGAAGATTTCAATCTATTTTCATGATTTCAGTGGGTTTTCTGGGTCAAGTGAAGAGTGAACCATTTTGAGACTACCTTAGGCTGCTAGCTGAAGAAGAGCTTCTCTTTTTAAAGTAGGTACATTTATTTTTTCACGCTCCTAAATGTATGTGTTAAATCAGGATTTCATAAATTTACTTGCAAATAGTCATACCTTCAAATATACAGGACAAAATGTACTATATCTTGAGTAGAAAAATACTGAAACCTGGCACTTTAAATGACCCAAACCAGCTCTCCATCCACAACCTTCTACTACAAATAACGTTCATATTAATAGCAGTAGTACACCAAAACAAATCAAGAGCTTGCTATATACCAGAATGACTCTAAGAACAATGTATCACATAGATACTTATAAAAGATAGCAAAGCAGATCCTACAATGGCATTCATCATTCACTATTATTTCCTTAAAATGTTAATAAGAAAAATAAAATTAGGTCCTGCCTAGGCCCTCTTAAGTTTTTGCATTCTACCCATGCCCACGTGGATTTTCTCTGGTGCTCTAAATTCCTTCCGAAAAATGTGAACATTAGGTAAATGGTGTGTTTTCACTGTTCCTTTGAGTAATTATATGCTATGTATGTGTACGTGTGTGCATGTGCCTTGGAATCCAGTGCGTGGTTTAGAACTTGCACTGTAAGCTGCCTTAATAGGCTCCAGCTACATAAATTTGAACAGGCACTGGAGGGTAAGAAATGATCGAATAAATAAGTGAATAATAATTATTTAATATGAGACGTTCTATGCTTCTTAACTTAGAAGTTTTTTGTTGTTGTTGTTCTGTATTGTTCTTTGTTTTAGGAGCGACTACGGGGGGCCCAGGGATTACTCCTGGAATTGAACTTTTATTTATATCAATTAACCTATAGGAAAACTGGTTTTACTATATGTAATTTTACTTAAAGTTTCAGCTTTTAAGAGCCAATCAAGACGTTAACTGAGGATTTATAGTATGACTCAAAGAACATTAATTTGCTCATTAAATATTGTATGTACTTGGGGCTAGAGAGATAGCCTTGCATATGGCTGACCCAGATTTGTTCCCTAGAGCCCAAATATGGTGTCCCCAAGCCTGCCAATCATGATCTCTGAGTACAGAGCCAGGAGTAAGCAGTAAGCACAGGAGGGGGTACCCACCCACCCACCCACCCCCCAAAAAAGAACATTTTCTGCACTCACACTCTATACAGGGAACTATGAGTGTTCCATAAAACTCCTGCTCAGCTATTTCTTTTTATTTCTGTTTTAAAGCTAGCATGTTTTGCCAAATATAATTTCCCACTTGGACATTATCCCTCATTCCTCTTATTTCACCTCTGGTCTTTCACTACTCTACCCACCAAAGTATTACTAAACTCGAATGCATTACAGATAATTTAATTCTTTAAAGGATAGATATATTTTGAGATTATTTACTATTTGAGAGGGTTTACTATTGGCACTCTATCTTAAATAAATTACTCACTCACCTGTGCCATCATCCACATTCTCTACTTCCATTACCTCTGTATTGATCCGGCCACGAAAAAGGTACCGATGTCCATCTGTGGACGCCTTGCTATTCTTCAACCGTCTTACAAAGGAATGAGAGCACAAAAACTTAGTTACTAAACTTAATTCAAAGTCGTGTTGAAGCAATATAATTTGCTTCGGTACATAATGAAGCAATAAACAATAAATGAGGCAACTCATTAAAATAAGAATAATGATTTCATCAACTAGACTACATGTGAGACTCAGTATTTTTTTTCACTGAGTCCTCTTATGCAAATTAACACTAACTGTGTTACCAGAAAGATGTAAAGCAGATAGGGTGCTTGCCTTGCCTGTAGCTGACAGAGATTTAATCCCCAGCACCACATCCCATGTCCCTCCAGGACTAGTCCATGAGATCAGAGTCCAAACTATGCCCTGAGCACAGCCATGTGTTCACAAAACTCAGAAAAACAAAACAACAATAAGAAACAAATAGCACTGGTTGTTTTATGAAAGGTGACTAACATACTGGTTTTTAAATAAACAAATAAACTAGTGGAGCATAGGACTCAGTGGTAAATGCCTGTCTTTCGTATATGACTATCTTACATATAAGGGACATGAGTTGAATCCCTGGCACAGCCAAAATGAAATAAATTATTTTATTTTTTTATGCTATAATCCTAACCTGTTCCCCATTTGCAAAGGCATAAGTAATCCAGATTGAGAATATATGGAAATTTAATAAAATCATAAATTCCTGGGGAGCACAGAGGAAAAGCTTAATCTGTGAGGCTGATAAACAGTTTTTAATTATTACTTGTTTACCATCTTACCTGTGTTTTCTTTTGCAATACACCAAAAGATTATCAAAAAGAAAAAACACCCGTTCTTGAATGTTCCCAGAAGAAATTTTCAACAGAACGCCACACATTAGCATTTCAGTACATGTGTCAGTGATGTTGGACCCCTACGAAAGGAAAAATGGAGAACATGCCAAATTACTGAACAGAAATGTGTGTGCAATTGCTTTTAGACCTTAAAGATGTTTCTTTAGGTTCAATATCTGGAAGGATAAAGGTGAAGTCCTAAAATATTTGTACACAGAATGTGGGTCACCTTCTGGTCTATATCTTCCTCTTCTGTCTCAGCAGACACAACTATAGCTAAGAGATTCCATGCCTCCCTTTATATATTTTTATACATATCTCCACATATACATATATGAAAAACAGTTTGTGTTCTATTAAGACGATCCAAACCAATTCATAATATTAATACATCCCTTTATTCCTTTATTCTTTCTTTCTTTCCTAAGATGCAAAAGAGTTTTAGGGAAGCATATCCATGGAAAACTACACTCCTAAAATGAAGAGGAGGGGGAAAGAAGAGATAAAAGGGGGAGAGAAAGACAGAGGAGAGCATGAGGGAGAGAGGAGAAAACCTTCTACTGAACAATTCATCCTATTTATTCAAAGTTGGAGATAGGGCTGGAGAGCTCAAAAGACTTATAACACAGGGTCTGCATGCAGGAGACTTAGAAGAGAACCCTAAACAGAATGTGGCCCCAAAACTAGAAACTAAATAAACCCAGACACATTCAGAGTTCTCCAAATTTATTTGACCTATCATCTATCATTCCTCTATTTTATATGTGTGTGTGTGTGTGTTTCAATTCCAAGTAATCTACCTTCTTTACACAAACAGAAAGCTCCCTCAGTTTCCACTGAGGCTAGGAACACTGGGTTACCCAAGCACTCCCCCCAAGGTAGAGGGATGATATGGCCAATAGGAAACACTGGGCATGTCTGTAGGATATCCACAGGATTGTCCATTTCTTTATTTAGACACCCAAAAGATTTTTATTGACATTGAATAATTTGCCTTTATTTTACTGACTCTACATGTCCTCCTGGGCTGGAGCGATAGCACAGCGGGTAGGGTGTTTGCCTTGCACACAGCCGAACAGGATTCAATTCCTCTGCCCATCTCGGAGAGCCCGGCAAGCGACCAAGACTATCCCGTCCTCACAGCAAAGCCTGGCAAGCTACCTGTGATGTATTCAATACGCCAAAAACAGTAACAAGAAGTCTCACAATGGAGACGTTTTCTGGTGCCCACTCAAGCAAATCGATGAACAAGGGGGGGATAGTGCTACAGTGCAGTGCTATATGACCTCGTATGCAAAGATGCCCTCTTCTAAACAAGAGAAACTACCAATATATGACTAAAGCTAGAAAGCTTCCTTTCTTCCTTCTGTTATATACCTCCCACTGCTTTTGAACTTCCATCATAAATAGCTTATTTCAGAATCTTAGATCTTGGCAAATCTCTGACCTCCAATTTGTTAGTCTCACATATAAATAAACCTTCAAAAGTGATCTCAGTCTTTCAAATGTGAACTGACAAAATAATAATAGAATAAGATTGTACTTTACCACTATGTATATTAGTTCACATAGAATTTACTATCATATAGTAACCCCATCTTACAAATGATTCACAGTGAGCCTACAGTTAACTAAGTGCCTAGACTCTTTCTTCTTATACTTTAAAAGTTTGACTTTACTAATCATTCAACCACAATTGATACATAGCAAACTCTCAAACATCTTATACACATAGAGATACAGTTTATTTAAGAAATTGTCACAAGTACCAATTACTTCCCAATTCCCAATCAAAACTCAAAGTATCTTTTAAACTACCTAACAGTAAAATGTTGATGGCTAATAATACCAAGTCTAACAATCAATGGGTTCCAGAATTCATGGTTATACATAGATGTATATCTTACAATATACATGGAACATTATTTAGATTATATCTTACTAAATCCTACCAAGATAATCCTATCAATGAGGCAATTAGCCTTTAATATTTTAGGTCAGCAGATTTAAGTACAGTGTCAACTTTATCATCTTCTATCATAGCAATCAGAATTAGCACATAAAATAGCTTCAATGAATAATTAAATAATTCCCAAAGAATTATTATATACACACTTAAAATGAATGCTGTGTCCCAATAAAAGTATAAATCTGGGGGGCTATTAAATCCCTGGCTTCCCATATGGTCTCCTGAGAAGTAACAGAAGTAATTCCTGAGTGAAGAGCCAACAGTAAGCCTTTAGTATTGCAGTGTGCCCCCCCAAATAAAACAAAAATGTACAAATTTGTCATTAAAAAATATAGGCACAGATATATTAAATATTACAAACACTAAAATAAAAACTGTTCAAGTGTTGGCGCAATCTCCCATGTAGCCAAAACATGTATCTCATTTCAAATATATCCTACCTACAAGTGAACAACAAACGGCTTCAAATTATGCTGCAATCCATTTTCCCCCACTCACATGATGAAAATATACTTTTTTCTGGAGTGGGGAAAAGCTACATGTGGCTTTATCTGTTAAATAAGTTAATTTTGACCTGGAGAGACTGCAGTGGGTAGGTGCTTGTCTTGCACATGGCTGACCCAGGTTTGACCTTTGGAACCACATATGGTCCCCTGATGCAGGAGTGACCCCTGACACAGAGCTAGGAGTAAGCCCTGAGCATCACTGTGTGTGCCCCCAAAAAAGATAGTCTATAATGTTCTGAAAATTATGTGAATTATTTTGTCATTTACCTAAAAATGCGGAAATCATTTCTGAAATTAGGAGTAAAATGCAATAGAATTTAGAAGAAACAAATAAAATACAGTTTAGCTATAGAATTGCTAAATTAGGAGTAAAATGCTATAGAATTTAGAAGAAACAAATAAAATACAGTTTAGCTATGATCAACAGACTTCTAGTTAAGGGCCATGAACACTAAAACCTATCAAAATGAGAATATTATACAAGTTAGAAAATTTAAAGTACGAAAACAAGAAAATTATACTGGCAGCTCATTGCAAGAGAGCAAAGAGGTTCTCATTTTTAGAATTTGAAAGACTCAACTGATAGCTGCTGAAACTTCCAGATTCCCTGAACGTACTAGCCATAGACACTTCAGTACAGTAAATCTGGGGGAGTAGCAGGTCATTCCAGTGGATACTGAACTATTCAAGAGTTGTTCAGCCACACTTAAAGCACCATTGCTTTGGAAGTTTGATGCCTGGGTCTGGGTACACAAGAGTATCGGCCAGCAATCCAGTAGATATGGATAACTCACACCTAAGCTGGGCATAGGTGTGAGCCTGAAGTAGTCCTGATCCTTCCTGCCCAGTGCCCAGTACCCAAGTCAGAGGGATATTTGTCACCTGTTCTACAGAGTTGTACCTACAGTGTTTCTTATCAGTACCTAGTATGCATGTACATCTACAAAATATTATATAACCTAGCTTGTATTTTCTCTTCAGTTTTAAAAAGCAATGCTAATTTTAAAATATAAGTATATATTTGGGGCATATATATTACCTGAATATTTTATAATGAGCATACATATCAAAATGATTACTAAAGTTGTGTTTTTAATATTTCTACACTATACCATACAACATTTTAAACACTTTATCCCAGTATATATCCCCATATATCTGGCATATTTATTTATAAAGTTTAGGCAAAATGCCTATATAATTAAATCAGATTTGTAGACTCCTTTACAGTTCACCAGATAGGTATCAGAGGCATTAGATATATGGACTATGAAAAACCCTATAACCATGACAAAATGTTTTCAATGAAAATAAACTACTTTAACAATGTAGTAAAATATGTCAGTGTCAAAAACCAATATTTGATGGCAAAGCAAACAGAAGCAAAAATAAACAAATAGGAATACATCAAAGAATCTAAGGAGATTCTGTACTGCAAAAGAAATGAGGACCAGAATGAAAAGAAACCCCAATCAGATTGGGTGAGAACATTTGCACACCACTTATGGGATAATGGGTTAATATTCAAAATATATAAAGCACTGGTAGAACATTACAAGAAAAAAAATACAAAAACCAACCGCATCCAAGCATGGTGGGTAAGGGAGGTGGGGGTGGAGGAGCAGTGGAAATAAACAGAAACTTCCTTAAATAAGACAAACAGAGGCATATGAAAAGAAAATGTCTGCAAAAGTTTTCATCAGGGAAACGCAAATCAAAACAATGAGATGCCATCTCACATCAGTGAAACTTTCACAGTAAAATTTTTACTACTTTCACACACCACAAAGAACCAAGTGTTGGCATGGCTGTGGAGGGGGGGCAGGAAGTAACACTCATTAGCTGCTGGTGGGAATGTCAATTGATCCAGTCTTTTTGGAAAACAAATGAATATTCCTCAAAAAACTAGGACTCAAGCTCCCATATTCCACTTCTTGACCTCTAACCCCCCCCCAAATAATAATCTATTCAGAAAAGACATTCGCAATCCTCTTCACAAGAATCAAAAGTTGGAAACAATCCACGTGTCCAAGAACAGTTGACTGGATAAAGAAACTATGGTACTTTTACACAATGGAATGTCACTTGATCACTTGACATCCTGTTACTCTTCAAATTGCTGGAGCAAGCGCCAGTAATGTCTCCATCCGTCCCTGTCATGTGTTAGCGTATCCCAATGGCATCTGCTCATTCTAGGAACAGGAAGAGCTTCAAACCAATTGTTCAGGGTCTTGACGAAGAAGTCTGACCATGTCGAAGGTGGGAGGTCACACCATCTTTTGACATCCCAAGGAATACAGTTGGAAATGACTTTAGTCAAGTGGTCATCTTCAAATCTCATTACGTGTCCAGCCCATCTGATTTTTGACGGCTTGGCAAATGAGACAGCATCCCTGATTCTTGACCGTCGACAGGGGTTGTAACTCCGGATTCTTTTTCTCATTTGATTGAAGCGTGATACTCCAAGCATAGCTCTTTTGATTCCTCTTTTAAAGACTCGAATAGCATTCTCATCCTGTTTTCGTAGGGCCCAGGTCTCTGAGGCATAAGTTAATGCAGGAAAAACAGTGGAATCAAAGAGATGTGCCCAGAGCCAGAGGTTCTT